GCATTTTTAAAAAGAGCCTCATCTGGTTATAAACCAAAAAAATCGAAGGTTTTCACAGCATCTGAAATTGCAAAGTTTATTAATGAAGCACCTGATTCCGTATATTTAGCGGCAAAAGTAAGTCAATACGTGTAATTTTTTGTTGTTGATAAAATTGTACATAGTACTTACAATATTTTTAATTTGATTAATTTATTTACGATTATAAATACTTCTTTTGTTACAGGTTGTTCTTATTATTGGTATAACCGGAGCATGTCGAACAAATGAACTTACACTACTTAATGTCAATAACGTATCAAAATATTCTCATAATTCTGATGAATTGCTATTAATTAATGTACTAAATACCAAGACAAAAAAAGACCGCAACTTCGTTATTCGCAAGGAATATGTAAACATTGTTCAGAAATATCAAGCTTTACGTCCTTCTAACACCCCAATTGAACGATTTTTTCTACAATATCGCAACGGAAAGTGTATCCGACAACCTATGGGTCAGAATAAAATTGGCAGTATTCCACGAGAAATAGCAACTTTTCTCAGACTTTTAGAACCCCCGTTATACACCGGTCACTGTTTTAGAAGAACCTCAGCCACACTTTTGGCCGAATCAGGGGCTGATCTTCTATCGCTTAAGCGCCATGGAGGCTGGAAGTCTAATTCGGTTGTAGAGGGATACATAGAGGATTCAATCCAAAGTAAATCAAAAATTTGTAATAGTATTGTGGAGGCCATAACGCTGAAAGAACCTCTGTCAGATTCTTGGTCTCGCCCTTCTACATCTAAAATGAGCCCCCATAAGATTGGAAACAATAGCCCTCTCTCGCCAACATTTACGCCAATAGAATCCAATGAATCGGCACAACTATTTAAAATTACTGATACGAGTAGTTTACCACAAAACAGCGCACAATTCACAAACACCAACATAACATTACCTAACAAAAATATTAAACTTAACATAAGTAACTGTAGCAACGTTACATTTAATATTTCTTAATTATTTTCTACTTCTTATTATTTTCTTCAATTTATAGATTATCTTAATGTGTTTTAATTGAAATAAAAATATTTTGTCATTATAAATTGTTTTCTTTTTCATTTTGTCATTTCCTCGCTGAGGTGGGATGAAAAGTTACGTATTGCACTCGTTTGTTTCCCTCGCTGACGCTCAGGATTCTAATTTAGAATCACTCGCTGCGCTCGTGATTCAACTTTAGAATCCTTCGCTTGCTCGGTCATCCAAATCGAGCACGCGGTTAAAAAGGAACTTTCCACTCTTGTATAATAAATAACTATTAAATAAGTTTAAGCTTACTATTAAAGTGGAATAAAAAGTACTTTATTCTGGACACAACGTACTTTTTTTTCTGCCTTATAATAATATCTAATGTACTTTATATGGACAAAAAAAAGGTGGCAACTCTACTAACGACTGCAGATGCAGCCAGGACCAACGGCTTAACGTGCATTCCAAAGCACGGAACGGAGGAACTCGAAATAGAAGATTTTTGGTCACCCATCCAATGACCGACCACTGCGAAAGTAGCTTACATAAAAAAAATGGAAGTCACATTACATTACATCATTTCGTTGTAGTTGGTTGCATGCATGTTAACCATAGAAGTATTATATGTTAACATATTTATTTATTTCGAATGTAGCTTGTCAAAATTAATTAAAAATCATAGGCACTCTTGAGAACGGAGCATGTTAATAAAAGCGCATCTTAAACTCGTTGAAACCATGACGAAACAGTTTTTTTATTAGAAAGTTGTGTTGTTGGACGGTGCTCATAGAGTACATTATATACTAGTAATAGAGATATCAGTTAACCTGAGCATACAGCGCCATCTAGCGATTCATGACATAATCACAAGTCATGTACTACTGAACCGGTACCGGCAGCTTTAGATGCGATTATTAATATGAAAAACCATACTGTGTTAAAGCTACATTATAAGATTATTTATCACACAGTTTTTTTTGATAATTGTCTAAAAATGTAGCTTTATCACAGTCGGTTAAATAAATAAAGAAGTTTTATAAATCAATTATTTTTATTTTTAAATATTTGCATGCCATTCATTTAATATCATCTTTAAAATTTGTACAATTACGCACTTTTATGGTGCCGTTTAATAATTTATTAACCTCACCACACCAGTTATATATAAAAAATCTACAAGTCGGATCTATCATAAAAGTTTCATTACTTTCTTTAGCCGTGTTGTATATTTGAGATTCTTTTCAGTTAGCTTCTTCATCACTTTTTTTTAGTTAGTTACACTTTGATTCATTGCAGATGCTGAAAAAAGCATTTCAATAAAATTAGTATCATTGTGAGGTGTCTTCAATTTTTTTAACTATTTATTATTGGTATAAGAAAATTAAGTGGAAGGTTCATTTCATTATGTAATGTCTACTTATTAACTAAAACATGACTAAAGCCCTTAGAGGTAAGATTATGAAAAAAACTAACAAAAGAATAAAGATGATTAGGATAGGTGCTCTCTAAAATAAAGATAACATATTTCTGATATTTTTTTTTTAAAGTTAAGTTAATAAAGTTATCATGTAATTATAATAGACAAAAATACTTACATAAAAATAAAAATTACCGGTAAGCTTATTATTACTTAGTATCTTGGATTTATTTACAGAGTTTTGTTGTAATTCTACCTTTTCAGTCAAAACACCAACTGCAAAGAAATTTTATATTAAAACAAAAGAGAATAAGGGAAAGTTTTTACTAATTTGTATATCTGAAATTTGATACTTCCATTCAAACATTCAAAAAGAATTTTGCCCCTACCAGGATTCGAACCCAGAACTTTACAGTAGGCATTGACAACCAGTGCACATTCCACTCTACTAGAATGTCAGTAATATAAAAAATTATTTCTAAATAAATAAATAAATATTTACTAGTGGATGTAGAAGGCATTGAAAGCTGAGAATGTTCAATTCCTTGGTCAATATCCATTCTGTTGGTAACATCCGTTAAAACACTCCTTGGTGCACCAAATCCTGATAATAAAAAAATATATTTAGCAAGTTATATAAAAATCACATTCAACACAATGATTTTTATTAAGAGACCATTATATACACTCTTTACTCGATCTTTTAAAAGACTTTGAAATCTGCAATTTACCTGGCAAATGTAAAGTTGGGACAGCATATGGAGAAAGTGTTCTAGTCCAAGTAAGAAACTTGGTCTCAAAATGTTTTTGACATACTATTCCTTGCTTGAAAAGATAATTATTGTCCATAGCTTATATCTCTCCTCCGACAGCGGAAGCCAAGTTCGGAATCGAGCGGGGTGAATGTCAGGGTTAGGAAACGAATGCATTGGTATTTTATCTGCGCCTGAAACATTTGGTCAAATAGTTAAATCAAGAAAGGATTGTTTATAGAGGTTCAATTATATGTAACTGATTGGTAATACGTACGTGTTACGTTGCAATTAGGCACACAACATCTTCTCTGAGATGCCATTTTCGAGAACAACGAAATCCAAATAGTGAAGCCAATCAATAACCGATATGAAGAGCAGGGGTCAAAACGTAAAAGCAGGAGAATCGGTGTCCGGAAAAATAGCTGAAATCGTCGGAAAACCCACCAAAAATCACAAGAAAACATTAAATTCACGAAGCGTAAACGGACGGAATAGTTTTTTTTTTGTTACAGTTTTTGTTTTAGATTCTTTACCCATTCTGGGTAGGTAAAGGGTACTGTGCCCATACAGCCAATTTTTTAGTTTATTATTTCAAAATAAAATATGTTGTAAATAATATATGCTGATAAGCTGTATTTCTTCTTTCTTGATTTTTGTTACAGTTACTGACAGCCACAGGTATAATTTTGTGTTACCTACTGTTTAAAAATATATGAAGTCGGAGGAATACCATACGTAAAAAAGATCTGAATAACGCCATCTAGTGAAATAATATATATCTAAAATTCGTTCTGTGATGTCCATACAAATAATTGTAGTTCGAAGTGAAAAGCCCCTGACGGTGCTCAGATGGAGTTAACGAAGAACTTCCAAAAATTGGAGATGTGAATAGAGAGGGGATTTGTAGAATGGTTACATGAAGGACAGGCATCGGATGGGCTAATGTAAGTGGAATCAATGAAGGAAACCAAGGGCGTCGCCAAGGGGGGGCAGGGGGAGGGCAGCCGCAAAGCGATCAAAATGCGAGCAATTGATTTCTTTACCTATTATATTTTGATTGCTTTGGTTTAGTAGTAAGTTTGATTTTTTCACTGCTCCAAGCAGACCCGTTTTTCCCAGTGGGCACTTTGGGCAAGTGCCCAGGGCCCATTGGGCCGCATCGATAGGGGGTCCCCTCAGATCAAATAAAAAGTCCCTAGTTCCTGTTAAATCACCAAACGGAAGTCATAGGGGCCCCATTATCCTAATATGCCCAGGGCCTCCAATAGGTCAAAGACGGCACTGGCTCCAAGGGACAGTAGACATGAGTATTAGATATGAATTTCAGTTTGATACCTCCACGCGTTCCTGAGAAAAACGGTCTTGACAGACGGACTACAAAGTGATCCTATAAGGATTCCGTTTTTTTTCTTTTGAGGTACGTAACCTTAAAAGGATACGTGGAAAATGAGACGGAAATTCGGATTGAATTTAATAGATTGTCAAATCTATTTTGGATTGACGGTGAGGAAGCCCGGAAGCCCTGCGAAATGCGAAGGATACCAAGGAAAAAGAAAAAAAAGAGCGCGAGGCATTGAACACATTCGGCGGTCAGAAATAACAAAATCAACGCTTAAGCGTTAGCGATAGCCATAGCAATCCCGTTAGGCGATTGGGCCCCTGGGGTAGACAGTCCAGGGCAATGCGAAGGACAAGTTGTTTGGAGAACTGACGGTCATTGGGGCAGATAAGTTCTCGAGTAGCAAAAGCGTTATGTCTGAAGCAGCGAAAACAGGCTTTCAACAGATTAGACTATTAACTGGTAAGGGAAACGATATAAAAAATCTGTACAGACTCGGTACAGAAATGAAAACGCAATGAACCCGCACCGACGTCTACCAAGGCGCCTAACTAGGATCATATTAACACGTACATTTATCAAAATGCTTAAAAAAGTTCTTGTCTCCTCTCCTACCTATTATAACTTTGTTTATTAAATCCAAAACATTGCTCCTCGAGTTCGGTATAATCCACGAAATCTGAAGACCGTTGAACGGACAACGGACCATCTTTATTGCATATCCATGGATTGATCGTGTCAATGTGACATTTATTAGTTAGAAATCATTTTGTAATGCATATTTTGTGTTGTGCTTTTCTATTCGCAGCTTTTATTTATGTTCTCGATATTTGTATTTGTTGAGGAATTTGTTTGGGGTTTAAAGGTTACGTACCAAAGTAAATAATTCTTTACATAAGTACCTGGGTATATACCTACTTACATAAAATTCAGAAAAAGCCCTATTTAAAACATATATAGATATATTATCATGTTGCGGTGCCCTTGTTTGAATGTTAAAGAAGAATTTCAAAAAATTGTGGATCTGAAAAACACTGGAGTAGTGGTTTACCGTTGTATTTCTCATTTAAAATATGTAAGTATACTCTGTATTCTGAGTATACTACCCACTGAACAGAAACATTTTATAACAAAAAGTAATATTGGTTTTTCGATAATTTAATAGATCGGTTTAATTAACAATACTTAGAGAACATGATTCAGTCTTCGGACTAGTTGCCCATCAAGGATCAGCCTCACCATAAATTCAGCGTCTGCTTGCCATTATAGCGTGCTGTCCGTCGCGCGTTGACCAGCACTAGCAGAGAGCACCATAAAATAGAGAGTGGACTGAGAGAGATACTTTGCATGAAATGTTCTCTTAGAACGAGAGAATAAACAACTTATAATATAATAACCAATTTGTTTTACTTTACAGTTTTACCTACACAGGAAACGATCAGTTCATGTCTGAGTAAAATGTACCCCCGTTCGCAGGTGTTCATCCGTCCCGGTTACGCACTAGCTTTCGGTTGTCTGTTGGTCGACGCAAAGGTCCTAGAAAATACCGTGTCGACTGCCGATCCATTTCCGATTTGATGTAGGTTCTTATCTATGTAACCACCGCGCCCAGAATCAACAGCGGGATGTTTTATTTTCGAGGATGGCGGAAGGACGGTGTCCTTCTGGCTACTTTATATTTTGCGAGGTTCAAATGTGCAACCAACACCAAGAAAGAAGTGGATATTTATATACAGGGCGTCCTACGGCTACCTCACACAGAGGGAAAGTATATTAAATATTGAAGATGTGAAATTTTACTGAAAGAAGACATCATTTTATTTTTAATAATAACTAGAACTGCATTCACAGATTTTTTAAAATCGCCTGCTACAACTGGGAATCAAATTCGTGAATTTTTGAAAAAATAACACGGCATATTTTATGATAACCATCGAAAGAGTTAATCATAAGGATTAGTTTTTGCTAAATAACATAGCATTTTAAATGAAAGGTATATGAATTACGTGATAAAAATAATAAAGTGATTTACAAACTGTAGTACGTATGCATTTCTTTTTGAACTCACAGTTACAGTGCGACTGGCAAAAAATTGTAATAATAATAATTCGAAAATGGAACACATAAATTTTCATGTGTCTGTTCTTTTCTTTTTTGTGAGTTTCATTTTCATTTATTTGCATTTTTTTGTTAATTTACTTACCATGGCTTATTAAAATCTTTCTCTATCTCTATCTTTCTTTCATTATTTAAACACATATCGAGAAGGTTTGTCTCTATCAGGATATCTTTTGCGGTACCACCGCTAAGCTAATGATATGTCTTTGTGGTTCATAAAGTAAGCTAACATTAAATTTATTTTATTTTGATGCGCCATGGTAAGTAAATTAACAAAAAAATGCAAATCAACGAAAATGAAACTCACGAAAAACAAAAGAACACAGGCTTGAAAATTTATATGGTCCATTTTCGAATTATTATTACAAATTTCAGCCTGTAACTGAATTCAAAAAGAAATGCATACGTACTCTTATTTGTGTATCACTTTATTATTTTTATCAGGTAATAAGACATTCCTTTCATTTAAAATGCTATGTTATTTAGCAAAACTTAACCCTTATGATTAACCCTTTCGATGGTTATCATAAAATATGTCGTGTTTTTTTTTCGAAATTTCACGAGTTTGATTCCCAGATGTAGCAGGCGATTTTAAAATAATCTGTAAATGCAGTTCTAGTTATTATTAAAAATAAAATGATGTCTTCTTTCAGTAAAATATCCTATCTTCAATATTTAATATACTTTCCCTCCGTGTGAGGCAGCCGTGGGACGCCCTGTATATTACTAGCTGTCCCAGCGAACTTCGTACCGCCATAAAAAATAGGGGTTGGTGGTAGAAGGGTGAAAAGGGTTGTATGTATTTATATGATGTATCATAGAAAAATAAAAACAAAAAAAAATGTCCAAAAAAAAATTTAAGGGAGGACATAACATTTAGGGGGATGAAAAATAGATGTTGTCCGATTCTCAGACCTACTGAAATGCATATAAAATTTCACGAAAATCGGTCGAGCCCTTTCGGAGTCCGTGACACGAGAATTTTATATATTAGATAATTAATTACATATTTTTTAAGATTATTTATATTTTATTTAACAGGTTAGAAAAAAAGGCGTTTTGCAGTCTTCTAAAGTGAATAATCCAACAGATGTGTATATTTTACATAATACTAACGACAAAGAAATATTACCCGCAGACATCGTGACCGCTTTTGGTACTATGAACAATTTCAGAAATTTCTATTCAATTAGGTCAATTACGATTAATTAATTTAAGTAGTTAGTTCAGAAGTATTACCTACCTACAAATTCAGCTTAATGTTTGCTTACAGATGAAAAGAAAATAAGCTGTCCACGCTGTATACATCTTTTCAAAACTGCCAAAAGTATGCTGAAAATAATGCCGAAAATTGGAGCTAAGAATATTATGGGTATATGCAATCATTGTCGCAAAAAACTAACTTCCTGTTATAAATGTGATCAAGCAGTAAAACAATTTGTCATCACAAGAGATAAATACAAAGATAGTAATAAGAAAAGTTCTCAATCCTATTTGTCTAAAGTGAATAGTTTACTGAATAAAGAAGGAAAACAAGTAAGAGAAAAGAAACACACATCTTCTGATATACATATTTTAAATCTGCATCATAATTCTTCAACAACATCCTCTAAACCAAAAATCGCAGTTGTGTTTGAGTCCAAAACAATGAGAACGAAATTTTTATGGGCTTCATTGGGATCGAAGCATTCCTTGTATTCTATTTCTACAACTATGATAAAGAAAAGAAAAGCAGCAACAAAGAGTGAATTATTTTATTCACGGTCACTTCAAAATGTGAGATATGATAGTAGTTGGTCAAGGTCAAATGATGGCACCAACTGGGATAATTACAGATCACCCAAACAATATAAACATTTCAAATATGGTAAACTCGACGTTCGTAATGATTTCAAATCAGATGAACATATTATGGTGGTTCAAGATGCGCAATTCAAACAATCCATAATATCAGACCGAAACGCTAAATCCACGAAATCAAATCTCAAAGGCAATGAGTTAAGAAAGTCAATGCCTGTTATTAAAATGAGAGGTTTTGATGATAGTTCAGTGCTTCAGCTCTCAGTAAAATATAATTCTGAAGATGGTTCATTAAATACAATATCAAGTAATATGGACATTACTTTGACTAACAATTTTAAATATTATTTCCCTAAAAAATTTGATGATAGACATAAAGAAATACATAAATTTGCGAGTTCATCTGAATTAATAAGAAACACTCGAAATATGTTACGAGATAGAGCAGAAAAGGATAGAACGAAACATGAGGCAGGTGGAATGAAGCAAGAAGGAAAGGAAAAGAAAAACATTAAAGGCGAGGAGAAAAAACTTAAAGAAAGAGAAAGGTTGAAGCCTGAACAAGAATTTACGCACGCTGAGGATAGAGAGGAGATTTTTTCTGCAAAACAAAAGCAAGAGAAAACAATTCCTGCAGACGATGAACCTTCCTTAACAAAGTTAGAAAAAAGAATAATACAAGGAGGATATAAAAAATCCACAGATTTTAAAACTGAAGAAAGTAAAACTAAAAAAGATACCACAGGCAATGAATTGACTTATGAAAGCGTTAAAAGAGATACTGCTTTTGCAAGCGAAGACAAAAAAATATTTCGAAAACAAAAAACTGAGGATGTAATTAACAAATTTGAACAAAAAGGCTACGAAGAATTCGATAAACAGCTAAAAAAAACTGTTAAAGACAAATCTAAGCTAGTCAAATACGTAACAATTCAGAAATACAAAGATGTAAATGGTATGGTTAATAAGGAAAAAGAAACTTCTGATAAGACGGACAAAAAGAATCATAGTAAAATTTCTAAATATAGTAAGGAAGACAAAGGCGTAGTTGAGAACCAAAAGGCAATCAAAGAAAGAAAAGGTAAAGGTCATATGAGTGATACAATAATTTCTGAAATAGGAGTTGATGACATTTATAAATACAATAAATTAATTTGCGAAACTACGAAACAGCAAAAGCACAGTAACGATTTGGGAAATCTTTCTAGCAAGGGAGATAGCTTAATAAAAAAGAAAAGACATAGAAACAATTTGAAAATTGACACCAATTCAGGGATCGCTGCTCTTGACAAAGACACAAATTTACATGCATTTGATAGTAAAGCAGTAAGTAAAGAAGAACAAGGTCCAGAAAAAGGTTTCAAAGCAACTGCTAATGATTTCAAAAAACTTCTGGCAGAACAAATCAAACAAAAGAAAGCTGAACAAAATCGCAGGAAAAATGAAGCAGAAATAGAAACAAAAGCAAACCAATCCGTTGATAAAAGAAATACTGAAACGAAGAAATCTCCTCGATCAAATATCCTGAAGGATTTATATAACGAACATGTACCAGAACAACTTAAACAGATGGAAGCGAAAGAGAAACGCAAAAATGAAACAGTCAACAATAAAATTGTATCAGCTCCACCATCACCAACCACAAAATCAAAACAAGTAAAACCGACCCAAACTGATTTGAGTATAGCTCAAATTAAAATGAAAAAACCATCAGGTGACGATTTAATATTAAAATTAGTTAAATTACAGCAATCGAGTCCTCCTAAAAGCTCGCTCCATAAGCAGCTGGATGAAGAAAAAATTAGTAAACTTATAGCACAGCATATAAGTCATAAAAATGATTTTGAAGCCAATTGTATAATATGTAACCAATCTGATGCTGATTTAGAACTAGAGAGTCTTCTTAACGAAAAAGTTCCAAGTGATCAAATGAAAAATTTTATAATAATAGGTGAAAAAATTTATAAGTATAGAGTACCTGTAAAGCAAGTGATAAAGGAAGAACAAATAATTTTTTTTTCGGTTGATGAGAATATTGAGAAAATCGAACCTCCGGCAGCAGTGACAGCTAAGGCAACAAAAGCAGTGAGTATACTATTTGTTATATAGATATCGTCAAGACACTTCTCTTAGAAAGTAGCAAATAGCAATAGGAAGTTGGCACTTCCTGACAAATAAATTAATCAATCAATACAGGTATACTACAAAAAGTGCAACATTAATTTTCTTTCGATTTTTTTTCTTGTCAAGTCCCTGAAAATAGTCTGAAATTGTAGATTTCTTCTTAGCCCACGGTAAATTTATTCTCGAACTTCTTTCTTTAGTTTTGGAAACAATAATCAGAATTTGTTCAATCTAGTTTTAAACTATTGGGAACTCCGATTTCGTGGTTGTTTTGAAGCCATAGGAAGCCACGTTTGTTTAGGGCAATTAGGAAAGCCATGGCAACATAACTCTTGTGAATGGCTGAATTGTCGAGTTCGCCACACCTCGAATCATTTTATCTCAATCTTTTTATAGGATTGCGTCTTTTATTTTTACCCGGCTGCGCAATGCAAGAGCGCGAAGCGCGACGCGCAGACAGGGTTATGTGTTTAACAGTCTATATATGTATGTTTGTTCTTTTGTGGCACACTAGAGACCAAACGCCTGGACCGATTTTGATGATTCATACATCAATCGATTCGTCTCAATCATGGGAGTGCTACTAAAGATATGATAGTAATCAAAATTCAATATGGGCAAAATTAGGCGCCATATTGTGACGAAGTAAAAAAAAAAGTTGACAAAATATGTCGAGTGGGGTATCACTGTCTAGATAATCAAAAATCATATTTAGGTTCCTAACACCATTTTTCATTTTATATGATTGTTTAGGATCTACAACGCTTTAAATTTGTATATTAACCACTTACGCTTTTAATTTCAATCTTACGTTTGTATGGATCTTTGTTAGTCTTTCACCTAAAAAATACCGAATGGATTTTAATGAAACTTAACAGTAATATAGCTCATATATGATAATTACATATATATAATAATTTATGTAGTTATTGAGTGAATTGGTTAATATATAGCAATAAGTGTCACATAAGACGGAAAAAAATGTCCCATCTTCGAGCCATTTTGGCCTGCACTGCAAAAACAATAAAAGTTACACGAATGTAATGTAGAGTGAAAATGTATCTCTTAAATAGTTCTAAAAAAAGTCCGTGACACCATATATCTATTTTTAATGTGTAAGTCATTACCGCTAAAATAGTGAATCAAAACTAAAATATTATTTGATATCTATTTCCAAAATGCACATTTTGTATTAACAAATCATTTTTTATCAAAACAAATAAATTAAAGACGATAATCTTTGCTTTTTACACTATGTCATTTCGACAAATATTTAAAAAGTTACAACGATGACAAAGTGATAGCGCGGTGTACTATGTAAAAGAAATAACCCTGTCTGCGCGTCGCGCTTCGCGCTCTTGCATTGCGCAGCCAGGTAAAAATAGGGTATTCGCAGTATCTGATCTTATACGAATAAGTACTAACATTAAAACTGTAATACAGTTCCTTCCTATAAATGATGAAAAATATATTATCATAATAGGTATTTATGATTATTGATTATTGAAGAATTTTACTGTTTTTCATTTTTTTAACGGTATTACTTAAGGTTACAAAAAAGGTTTACTTAATATAATGACAAATAACCCATTTTTCGCTAGTAAATACATACTTATTGGAATCCCTGTATTTATTAATCAGCTCGCGATAATATTGGTTTTGTAATAATTCTGCAAAATTCAAAGTAAATAATGTAGATTTTTATAGGTAAATCACCCCTTTCATCACACTACGCCTATAAGTATTGCGATGTTGTAGCTAAGAACCAAGTTCCCATCTACTTCTATATGGGAATTCATTATATTCGATTTAGCTATTAGGGCACGGGAGCGCAACAAACAAACTCACTTTCGCATCTATAATATTATATTATACTTACTAGTGATCCACCCGGGCATTGTACGGGCGAAATTTATTTATCGGGATAAAATATAGCCTATGTCACTCGTGTGGTATGTTGGGTGATAGCGGCAGGTTATAATAAATACAAAGACGTAGATAGGTTGGTGTCCATTTATTGAAGAAGGCTTAATGGTACAAAACATACTTATTTATAATATTAGTGCACTACGTAGTTACACACACACACACTTATAAAATATAACACACAATATTATTACAAAACATCAGCATTTCACGTGGCCTACTTTCGTGTCATTCAATGTTGCGTTGTATTATTAATACATATTTATTAAATTATTTTCATACTATCACACGCCCCCCAAAAATCTCCATTACACCCCTCTCCTCAAAAAATAAAAAAAAGTGTTACATTTTTTTTTTCAACCACATACATTCAGCTAAATATTATCATTATAAAGTTTCGTATTATTCTTATGTACTACGTACTCTCTATTATTTTTTAATATCTTTACATTAGGTGACAATTCCTCTATTACTTCATAAGGGCCGTTATACACTCTATCTAACTTATCTCTTATTTGATTTTTTACCAAAATTAAATCTCCTTTTTTATATGTTATCGGGTAACTATTTTTATCAAATGTAGTTTTTCTACATAATTTATTAGTTAATAAATTTTTTCGCGCATCACACAGTGCTCTTTGTAGTCTATGTCGAAGTTCCTTAGGATAGTCATCATAGTTATATAAGGGAGTTACAGAGTCACTTAAGTTACTAGGTAAAATACAATTTTTTCCAAACACTAGCTCGTAGGGAGTATATTTTGTTTGTGTGTGTACCGAGGTGTTGAATGAGAAACACCAGTACGGAACCCAACTACTCCAATTGCTTTTGTGACTCTCACATTGTATTCTTAGAAAAGTGCCGAGATGTTTGTGAGTATTTTCTAACGATCCCATAGTTTCATGGTGATATGCAGTGGACTGTAATTTTTTAATACCTAATAAGCTACATATTTCGGTCATAATTTCGTTAAGAAATTCTGTTCCCTGGTCTGTAATTATTTCTTTTGGGATTCCATATCTAAGGATAAAATTATTTACAAAAGCTCTCGCTACCGATTCGGCGTCTTTGCGCTGCAAGGGATAGGCTTCAACGAACTTTGTTAGGTCGCACTGTAGAGTTAGTATGTACCTATGATTGTAATCGTCAACTTGTAATGGTCCCATTATATCTAAACTAATTCTTTCGAAAGACGAATTAGGGGTAGTCGTTAATGACATAGGTTCCTTAATGTACCTATTGGTGTATTTATTTATTTGACAAAGCTTACATTTATTGACATAATTAACGACATCCTTTGTAATGCCTGGCCAAAAATAGTATTTTTTAATATTGTTTAGCATTCTATTTATCCCAGCATGCCCACTGGTGGGCAACAAGTGGAAGTCATTTAATATAACTATCTTTTCGTCCTCATTTCTGATACGCTTAACATCTTTAGTTATCAATAATCGCGGCCGACTCAACTTTAGTTTTTTAATTGTACTTGCAAGTAACTTAATATGTCCTTCATATATTTTATTTTTGATAATAAGCAATTCTAAGATATTTAACTTACTACAAAAACTCTCTAAATCTCTCGCTAACGCTTCTACAGCTGATAGCGATCGAGCATTTAGATAAATTATTGACCGCTTTGGTACATATACACAATTTCCACTTGAGGACGTAAAAACTTCGTCGTTTCCGTCATATTTGACCGAGTGACTAAAACATAATTCGATAATATCCGGTGGTGGCTTGAGAATTTCCACGGCCAAGGGGTGATCAGTCCCATGACTATGCAAATTTTCAGGCTTACTATAATTCTCTAAGTCACAGTTTTTATTATGACTATTTTTTTTTGTTTGTGCTCTAGTAAGTACTGATACTAAGTGTTCACGCATATTTTTTAAATCATCCGATGTCACCGGGATGCGACTCAATGCGTCTGCAGCCGCGTTGTGTCGTCCTGGGACATAGCCTATCTCAAAATCATATTCCTCTAAATATAAACGAAATTTAGTTTGCCTACTGGAAGGATCTGTCATAGAAAATAAATAAATAAGAGGCTTGTGATCGGTTAGAATTTGGAATTTCCTACCATATAAATAAGGTCGAAAATGCCTCACTGCCCAAACTATGGCTAATAGCTCCAAGTCTATAATCGGATATCGCGTCTCAGCGGGCTTTAAACTTCTACTTGCGTATGCAATAACTCTATCATTCCCATTGGATAATATTGCACCTAAACCTGTTCTTGAGGCATCAGTCTGCAATTTAAAAATATTATTTTCAGAAAAATCGGGATAATCCAAAACTGGGGGTTTTATTAAAGCAGATTTTAATTTTTTGAATGCTTCGTCACAATCAGCTGTCCAATTAAATGCAACATTCTTTTTACAAAGTCTATTTAGTGGATGTGCAATTTCAGCGAAATGTAAAATAAATCGTCTATAATAGTTAGCGAAGGCCACGAATCTTCGGACCTCGTCAACGTTAGTCGGTGTCGGATAACTTTGCAAGGTTGTTATTTTGCTTGGATCAGGAAATATGCCTTTACTTGTTATTTTATGTCCTAAGTATACTATCTCTGTTCGTAAAAATTCACATTTTAAAGGGTTTAGTTTTAAATTAACTTTTCTTAAGCGTTCTAACACAGAAATTAGGTTTTTATTATGATTTTCTATACAATTTCCTATAACGATACAATCGTCTAAATAAATAAAACATTGATTATAATTCAATCCAGACATAGCTATAGTCATCAATCGAGAAAATACGCTAGGGCTAGTTTTAAGTCCCATCGGACAACGCTTCATTTGGTATATTTTATCAGCTGTGAAAGCGGTGCACTTACGTGAATCGGGTTGAAGGGATAATTGGTACATTCTATCTAAATGGAAAGCAGTGTATTTTCTTGAATTTTCATTTAAATTTAATTGATAATAACTTTGGGACAAATCTAATTTTGAAAAATACATAGAATGTGATAAGGAATCTAAAATATCTGTAATATTGGGAAGTGGAAATTTATCATCTTGAATTCTATTATT